CACGTCCCACCGTGCACGTACTGTTAAGAATGCTCCACATTTTAACTTCTTTAAGCTCTGCGACAGCTCCATGATTGTTTTAACTCATTTTTTACGCGGAGAAAATGAGGTTAACCTGCCGGAGCACACAGGCTAGTAATTGTCAGAGTGTAGGTTTAAAGTATATGCTTTTGACCGCTAAGAGCCTGGTCTTGGCTCTGACCCGTCTCGCTCCCACCTGTCCTGACAGCAGCCCTCACTTCAGCTGGGTTCCATTCCTCAGACATTTCAGGATTTCCGTGGTGCATTGTTCTCGTCTCGGTCTTTTGGGCTGAGGAGGGCTCTGTCGTTCTAAGGCCTCAGTGTCAATTGTTTTTCCCAATTCCGTTGTTTCGGGCTTGACTGTTGTTTTATTCTTGGTGGGTGAGCTCAGGAGCCCTAGCGACTGATGAGCCTTGTGTCTCCATGTTAATCTTTTCCTACTCTCCTTCTCAAGAAGGAATTGGCCTCACCTCATTTGGGAGGGCAGAACTGTTAGCTGCTAAGGTCAGGAGCTGAGCACCCCTTCCCCTTTCTCCAGCTGTCTCTGTGATGGCATCTCTTGTCCGTCTCTATCCATGTCCACTGCCCTTTTCGGTTGCTCCATTTCCCCACTCTGTATTTAAATATGGGGATGGGGAGCGGGCTCTTTGGCATTGAGTAGTTTTGGCTGGTCAAGAGAGAGCCATGCCTGCCAGGAATGCTAGACATTCTGGAGGCGTGGGAGGTTGGGCAGCTTCCTCTTTTTTAAACGTGCTAGGTTCTAACTGCACAGGAATGAAGTGTATGTGCATTGCATGCCTTTCTTTAGAAATTAGTTATTTGCATATTATTGATGAAACCTTTTGACATGGCCGTATGCTGTTTTTGTGGGGAGTACTGTACAAAAGTATAATCAAAAACCTCCAGAATGAATTTTTCTGATTTTTTACAAGAGTTTTTAAGTAGATTCTTACCAAATCAGAAATTGTGCTGAAATGGCAGATTTCTGAAATATCTGGCAATTTTTCCTGACGTAGGAATAGTAAAATGGGAGCTATTAAGTAGATATTTGGGGGCAGTTTTATACTTCTGTTAAACAGCCCAGTGCCTAAAATGAAAACACTTCTGTAATGATGTGTTCTTGGGAGGATGTACATGGGGCATAGGACATTTGATTAATAGAGGCTACTCAAGTCTTGGGAAAGTCACATTCCAGGGTACTGGGAAGTTAATGTTCACATTTCTAATGCATATATTACTTAGAATTTACAACATACAGAGAAAGTAGTTTTGCATAGTAATATTTTGTTTGCTACAAAGTTCTTTGCTAAGTGATTAAAACACGTTGTAAATGTTGATGGTTTGAAGTTGGAAGAGATGCATGAGAATTAGAGTTTAACAAATATTTTGCTCAACAGTCTGTTTGCATAGTTCAAACTTCACTTGGAAGCCATTTAGTAGGTTTCCACGAAGTCAGTTAAGTGTCTGGAAATGTTTCCAGTGGTATATTTCTTGCTCGCAATCTACAGATATATTGTGGTAAAGCCCACATTTTGTTCATTACTTAAGTATGTTAAAAAAAACCCCACAATCTCCCACAATAAAGCACAGCTAGTCATAATGGCTAACAGTTTTTGAGTGTTCATGATGAATCAGGCACAGCATTAAGTGTTTTTTATATTATTACCTCATTTAATTAAATTGCCTCTTGCAGTATGTTATGTTAGTAACTACGTTTTATGTTACCACCAACTAGAGGGTATTCATTTTGGGACATAGGAAAGTAGTATGATCTCGGAAAGTGTATATCCTCCAAATGTTTTCACTGTCATAGTTCAATTTTATAAAAACTTGGATAGGGGCGCCTGGGTGGCGCAGTCGGTTAAGCGTCCGACTTCAGCCAGGTCACGATCTCGCGGTCCGTGAGTTCGAGCCCCGCGTCAGGCTCTGGGCTGATGGCTAGGAGCCTGGAGCCTGTTTCCGATTCTGTGTCTCCCTCTCTCTCTGCCCCTCCCCCGTTCATGCTCTGTCTCTCTCTGTCCCAAAATAAATAAAAAAACGTTGGAAAAAAAATTAAAAAAAAAACAAAAACTTGGATAAACTTTGTTCATCTTTCCTTTTTTTTCAGTTTGAAGTATGAAAAATAGTAAAGTATATATAAGAAAGTTAGTACATTACTCACTATAATGCTGAATATAGGTAAAGTATAACTCTTTTTAGTTCCTTTGTCCCCCCCCCCCCATTTTGTTTGCTTATAGATTTTCTTAGTCTTGAGTATTGAAACACTTTTTACAACTTTGGGTTACTAACTTGACATAAGGGAAGATGGTGAAATAGGTAAATTGCTTAGATAGGTGAGTTGTTTTATTTGAAATTTATGATATATGTCTTTAATAAGTATCTTTTTACTAAACTAAAAGCTGTCAGAATTAATCAGAGTGACTTTAATAAGTAAGCTGCAAAAGTGATGTTAGGAGTTGTCTTCTCAATTAGTGATTTGTGAAAGCTTCCCACACAAGGTACTGTCCTGTTTTTAGTGTTGGTGGGAAGACATATATAATAATTGTACTAAAAAATTGTTCTAGGCTCATTTTAGAATTATCTACACATTTAAGGATTAATGTTAGGTAAGTTGGAACTAGCTTAAATGTAGAAATCACATTCTCAGAAATAATTTGAGATTAACAAAAATATTTAATAAAAGAACTTTAAAAGCTAAGAGAGGTAGGGAAACCTTATATAACCTTATATAAACCTCAACAGTAGAGAAAGAAGAGTAGAAGTCCAACTTTGATTCCAGTTTTGTGTGATCTTGCCTTTATTGGCTTTACATACTTGTTTTTTTCTTTTTTGAAATATACTGTTTTAGAGACAGATTTTTACAGATTTTACTGCAATAATCCAAAGTTAACCTTTTTTTTTCTGTAAAAATTAATTGCAACTTTACAAATTTATAAACCCAGTATTCATTCTGCAACATCATTTATTCTGCAAATAGTTTTGAGTAGATCATCCCTCCTATGCCAGGCACTGTGCTGTGAGCTGAGAACACATGGTTAGCAAACTGAATCCTTGATCCCTTGAGATTATAGTCTAGAGAGGAAAATATGAATAGTCTATTTGAACTTTGATAAGTGCAGTGATGAAAAGTGTAAGATGCTAGAATGCATTTAAGAGGAGATTCCATTCTGCTTTGGTGGTGGTATTTACAGGGGTATTGGTGGTCCAGGAAGATTTCTTTGAGGAAATGATCTTTGAGCTGAGGTCAGAATGAGTAAACAAAGGGGAAGGAGTACCCCAGGCAAATGGAAATGTATATAGACAGGATCCTGAGTCAAATAGTCAATGTTTTTCAGGTTGTAGGGTCATAACCCATTATGAGTATAAAACCAATTTGGTGGGCTGTAGCCACCATTTTAAAAAATGAAATGCGATAGCATAGAAAACATCTGAGTATATCACCTGGTTCCTTAGAATATGTTTTATGCATTCCAACACACATACCGCACAGAAACATTCACAAAATTTACCTAGTATGATAGTATAGATAGAAGTAGATAGATTAAAGATACTGTAGATGAGGAAGGAAAAAATTTAGAGAATTGGGTGAGGTATAGGAAAGAATAAGTGATTCAATAATAAATCTTACACATGACCTGGAAGTGAATATTACATAAAACTTCCCACTGTAAGTTTCACAGAGTCCTTAGTAATTCTACCATTCTGAAAGTAATAAAATATTGAAGACAAAATATTTGTAAAATGCTTTAGTGATATGCTTGAACTAACATAATTTCTCCAGTAATTTCCTTTTTGATTGTAAGAAATGCAAACAAAATTAGGACTTTCAGTTCTGGAAAGGTAAAATGTGAGGATGAAGCAGAAACAAGCTAAGATTTTCTTGAGTTCCAACTATGTGCCAGGATTGTGTTTTAACATATGAGATCTTTTAATTTTGTGGTCACTTTTAATTCTCACACAGCCTGTAAGCAAATTGTATAGGTTGTATGTTTAGAAAGGATTCAGCCAGAAGTCAAGTCTAAATCTCATTTCAAAAGACTGTGTTTTTACTATACCATCCTGAAATTAACAAAAATATTGCTCTGATATTCATACATTTATTTGTTCAATCAATTAGGGTGTATCAGATTAGTAGACACCCTTAGAACTTGTTTTCAACAAAAAAATGTTCTTGCTGAAAATTGATAACCTCAAATCTGTGTGTGTGTGTGTGTGTGTGTGTGTGTGTCTGTGTGTATGTAAGCGTTATTACTGAAAAATAACTATGATTGAACTTCTTTTATGTGTCGTACACTTCTATACCATTGTATCTTTTAATGCTTACCATAATCTCACAATGTAGGTGTTGTTAGAATGTTATTCCCATTTTATTAATGAGCATACCAAAGTTAAGAGAGGATTAACAGTTTATCACGATACACATAGTAAGTGATGGGGAGGGGGTTTTGAAAACAGGTCTTTTCTTTTTTCAGAACTCATACTGCATCTTTATTTTTGAAGCTGATGTCATGGTGGTAGAATATTTTCTTCTACTAAATGACATTTCAGAATAACTTTTACAATTTAAAAAATTCTGTACCCTAGGAGTTAAGAGGAAGTTATTAAGAGAATGGATTTTGGCAACAAGACAAATCTGGGTTTTAAGTACCAGTTCATGATTTTTTAGCTGAGAACTGAGACAAATTATTTCACCTACAAAACTCAGGTTGCTTATTTGTGAAATGAAGAGAACAGTAGTTTGCACATCATAGAGTTGTCAAGATCAATGGCACTTAATAAATGGAAGCTGCTGCCATCAGTAGTACAGTGTTTGTTGTTGTTAATAGAATACTACTAATAGAATACTAGGTGGGCTATGGGCTATTTGTGAAAACCTAGTATAATGTTTCCCCTGGTTGATGTAGTTTTTGTGTTTCTCTCTTTTCTTTTTTTTCCCTTCTGCTTAAGGATTTCAGTTTTTCTGACTGTTCCGTGAAAGGATGATTGCTCACAAACAGAAAAAGACAAAGAAAAAACGTGTTTTGTCATCAGGCCAACTCTCTACCGATGTTACAGCTCCTGAAATGGGGCTCAAGTCCATAAGTTCCAATTCCATTTTTGATCCGGATTACATCAAGGAGTTGGTGAATGATATCAGGAAGTTCTCGCATATGTTACTATATTTGAAAGAAGCTATTCTTTCAGGTTTGTCAATTATTTTCTCTTAGCATTCTTACTGGATAGTTGGTAAAATTTTAAATGCCAGCCTAGTTTCAGATAAATGCTTACACAGTGGTAGGAACAGGGTATTCTGCTTTAGTTAATTAACAGCTTCTTCCCCAACAGATGTTTGGTGTTTGGTGTTACGATGTAAACTATTTTATTATTAGATATAGTATAATACATAATAGAAGCGTTGGTAGATGTGAGGAAATAATAATACAAAAACCAAAACTCAGTCTTTGCTTCTTAGCAGTTGGGCCCATTTGAACATGGAAAAATTTTAGATCATTGAAATTGTAACCTTCTTGTTAATGGTACCACGGTGCATTGATTGGTCTATAAAAAGCAAACTAATGTTTATAATTTACATTTTTGATACTTATACCTAGATTTAGTTTTCTATATTGTTCCTAAAACTTAATCTAGAATCTCTGCATTTGAGTGAATTTGTTCCTCAAAAATCACAATTCTGTTTTGCTGTTCTACATAACCTATTAAAAAAAATTTTTTTAATGTTTATTTATTTTTGAGAGAGAGAGACAGGGTGCAAGCAAGGGAGGGGCAGAGAGAGAGGGACACACAGAATCTGAAGCAGGTTCCAGGCTCTGAGCTGTCAGCACAGAGTCTGACACGGGGCTTGAACTCAAGAACGGTGAGATCATGACCTGAGCCGAAGTCAGAGGCTTAACGGACTAAGCCACCCAGGTGCTCCTCCCATATATAACCTATTATAGAATTAAGGGATAGTCACAGAATTTATTCTCTGTCTAGTTAGAAATGGACAATGAAGCCCAAGACTTGATTCTTCTAAAGAGTTACACACATCTGCATTCCCCAACTTGATCTTAGTCTCTAAGTCTTTTAACTTTTGATGCCTGTTTTATATTCATATTTGATGGCAGTGATAAAAAAGATACAGCCCCTATTCTTTTGTGATAAATAGTAGTTCATTTCCATATTCATAATGGTAGATCTGGATGTAGAGAATGAAGATACTAGTTTTATTTATATGAGACCTCCTTGGGCTTCATAGACATAAATGTTTAATAAATATTTTTTGTATATATGTTAAATATTCATTTTCTGATACATGTTCTAGAAATATCATAAAATCACATCTTGTACTAAGATGCTTTTAGTACAAATATGCTGCTTTTAAGAGTTTATTTCTAACCTAATTTTTCAATTTGAAATGCCCAAAATAACTGGACTTGAATTGTAGCCTCAAAATTTTAGTATTTGAATTTTCCTTAAAACAGTCACATAAATCATGTTTTTGAGACTATATATAAATATATATATAAATAAATAAGTTGCCTATATTCTTGTTCATTTTAATAGCTTGATTTTCAAGTCTAATTATAGTTGATTCATTGGTAATAAAGTTTTAATTTATTGTGAAAAGGTATTTTAAATACTTTAAGCATTATACTGGGAACAAATTTCTGCCAAATGACACTATCTGCCATTTATTTTAAAAAGCCTAGCTTTAAATAAAGGCTTGTTCTTAATTGGGTTAATTGTTTTAAATTAGTTTTGAAAATTTTACAGTAAGAGTCATTCTTTTTGATGTAAGTTCATTAACTGGGTTAGTTTTGAAAGTGAAATTTAAAATGATGTCTTGGTTGACAAATCATTTACCTCAATTTAGGGTAAAGTATGGTTTTCTTTAATGTATCAATTTAAGTAAATGTTCATTAATATAAATAAGATTCTTAGGTCTGATTTTTGTTTTTATTTGTGTTCTCAGGGGATTGATAGCATTTAAAAATCCTGATCTTGCATATTTATCTCTTCTCTCACAGATTTAAAATGATAGTAATTTAAAACAAATTGGACAACTCTTTAACTTCAGTTTTTTTAATGTGAGTTTTAATTTGTGAATAGACAATTCAGAGACTAGGAAGGAAGAGGATTGAAAGTTGATTCTAAGTGAAAAAGGAGAAAAATTTATAATATGGCAAAAGGAGGCTAACCCCTGAGATGAAAGGAGGCATATGGAAACAAAGTTTTTATGGACATTTAGTATTAACATTTTGTAAAGATACTATCTTTTTAATAAGAAAGCCAGTACTTCAAAATTTAAATACTTGATTTTATTGCTAATAATAAAAATGCTTGCCATTTATGGCTGGTAAATTAATTTTTAAAATGTAAAAACCATCTTTTGGATAACCAGCGCTGTCATTAGTGAGCTGTGGCCAGAGAATTTTCATTATTTACCTTGGATTGATTTTAATGTTTGGTTCTTCAATCAGAGTTAAAAGGATATGTGTATGCTATCTCAAAATAAACCTTGGATTTAACAAGAATTTATTTTCTGTCTTTGGATCCTTGTTATCAAGATCCAGAAATATACTAGTTTTGAGTCGATAGAAACTTTTTTTGTTTGTTTTTCTTAAACAAGGGACTATATATAAATATATAAATTCACCTCATTATATATAATAAGAATGCTACATAATAATATGTTTGTGTCTAATCTTGGTTATGATTTCTAGCTTGTTAGAGTATCAGACTATTCCTTAACAGAATTATTATAAGAATCACACAAGATATAATCTTCAGGAAAGCAGATAAAAAGTTTAAAATTCTGTAATTATTTAATATGGTGTTATTATATACCTTTACACTAGACATGGGCCATACTTTTGTCTTCTGGGTATTGAGAAATTTCCCTGGACTTCTGCTATTCTTTATTCCACCACAGTTGTAAACTGGTCAGACAGAGAGCTGTTTCACTGTTTTCCTTTTGGAGTGACAGAGCCTTGTCAGTGGCCTTGTCAATATTTTGTCTTTTGCCTCCTTAAGAGGAAGGATGCCAAATTATTGGCATTGTTACCCTTTAATTCATATCAATTGGCTGTTAAAATTGCTGAAAAGTTAGCTTTTAAGAATACAGAATGTAGGTATACAGTTAAATCACTTTTTGGTTTAATCTGAATACCATTTTCTTTATATACGTTACCTGTCATGAGGCAATGATATGCAAAATCAGTTGACTGTTGCTTCCGGTGTTCATATTTTTGAGGCTAGGCTTGGATTAACAGCTTTGTGATTGGTTTACAGCCACGTTTTCCTTTTTCTCAAACTAGTTCTAGAAATGATACTTAATTATATATGGTGCTTTACATTTTACAGGGAAACAGCATTTAATCACAGAGTTCCACAAAGGCAGGTACCTTTTTTTTTTTTTTAAACATAGTGATTTCCATTTTATTTCCATATTTACTAAGTCACAGGAAATTTTATTTTTATTATTTTTTAAATGTTTATTTTTGAGATAGAGAGAGCAAGCGCATGCATGAGTGGAGGAGGGGCAAAGAGAGAGGGAAAAAGAATCCCAAGCAAGCTTTGTACTATGAGAGCAGAGCCCGATGTGGTGCTCAATCCTATGAACCATGAGATCATGACAAGAGCTAAAATCAAGAGTGATGCTCAACAGACTGAGCAACCCAGGTGCCCCCAAAGACAGGTACTTTTAGCCCCATTTCACAGATGAGTTGTATGTATAACGTAGGTTGTGTGATTTCATCAACCTCTCATTGCTGATATATAGTGATTTCGTTTGGAATCTGGAGGTTATAAATGCAGAATGGTGTTTCTTTCCTTGGTGTCTCAACTGCTTCACATGGCAAGTACTTTAAAAATACCACTCAGTCTTCATTATTTCATCAACCAGTTCTGTTTTTAGTGGAGATTATCTAGACCTGCACTGTCCAATATGGTAATCTCTAGAAATGTGGCTGTTTAATTAACATAAATTCAGCTCCTCAGTTGCAGTACCCACATTTCAAGTGCTTATTAGCCACATGTGGCTAGTGGCTATCATCTTGGACAGTGGAAGATATAAATATTTACACTATTGAAGAAATTTCTATTGGATGGTGCTGGCATAGACATTTGATCTTTATCAATCTCAAAAACATTCAGATGAATTCTTGAACTGTAAATATTTTTTAATTCTATAGCATTAAAAGAAACCTAGAAAAAGTTATCAGAGCAAATTTAAGAAAATTTTACCTAGAAGTAGGAACTCTTAGTCTATTTGGAATCCTGTTAAGTTGCTTTTGAAGTATATAGCTTTCATGCCCTTCTTTGATTTGAACTAGCAGATCAGTTTCCAGCCCAATTATACAAATTGATAAAAATTGTCAGTAATTGATGGCAGAAGAGCTCCGGAAAGAGAATCACATTTTCTAGGTTCTAGGCCTTGTTCTGCTACTGACTAGTTTTAGAATATGGTTTAAGTCATTTAATGATTTAAGAATGAGGTGCTATACCAGATGCTATCAGTTTTATAATTCTGTGATTCCCAAAATTTGATTGGAGTTGGAGATTCTACATTGTTCTGAATATTGAAGAGTTCAGAGCTAGAGAAGACAGTTAAGTATATGTCTTTAAACTATATAATGCATTTTAGAGGACATCTGCCTCCCACCAGTCTATAGAATTTTTTAATTTTTATTTTTAAAAAAGTTTTTAAGTTTATTTATTTTGAGAGAGAGAGAGAGACACAGTGGGAGTGGGGGAGGGGCAGGGAGAGAGGGAGAGAGAGAATCCCACGCAGGCTTCATGCTGTCAGCACAGAGCCCAGTGCAAGGCTTGAACTCATGAACCGTGAGATCATGACCTGAGCCGAAACCAAGAGTCGGATGTTTAACCGACTGAGCTGCCAGGTGCCCCTATAGGATTTTTTAAAGGTGAATTTTATGATAACTATCTTAAGTGTGGTATTTGTGAAAATTTCCCAAGTGAGAATGTGAAACTCATATTGTTATAGTTGTTGAGGAACTGATGACAGAAATAAGCATCTACCAAAGAGCTCTGTGGTAATATGAAAGATAGGTATGCAGTTTGTTTTTGCTCTTTTTATTTACAAATAAAAATGGAGAGTTTAATGTGCGACATCAGAGGACTTTGAAAACACATACTTAGATAGGATGACTGATAGAGTTTGCTGCTTCTCTGACCACTGTTTA